CTGTTGGTTAGGCAGAACTGATGGGTTCAGGGTCTGTGCTTTAAGTTAAAGGTTCTAGGTGAACCAAACTGTATGCTTGTGTGTGTGAGAATAAGCCACGTTACTTTATTTTATTCACCTGATTGTTTTATTTACCCTGTTTGTATTTAAAATAAACCTTATTCTTTTGTTGTTTAAAAATCCATCCCTGGTCTGTGTGACTTCTTAAAGGGAATGGTTGGTGGCAGCTTAGTGTAACTGTGTGACATATCCCAGTAGGTCTGGGTTTGTCACATTGATTGGTGTCCAGCGTGTGGGATACGACTGGTCCAGTTGTCCAGCGGTCCAGCAAAGCCTTGGCAAGTGTGCCCAGAGCAAGGGGGGTCTAGTCAGGGACAGTCTGAGGCGCGTAGGTAATCAACGGGCACGCTGCAGACAGCCCCCAGCCTCTCCCCCCCCCCCTTGGTGCCTTTGCCGTTTGCTCTCCTTGCCTTTCTTCCCCAGAGGGAATGAACAAGGGAACAGGACTGGAAAGGATGGTCTGCGGGGAGGGGGTGGGAAGAGGGGGGGTGACTACTTTCCATCTCGCTGCTTTCAAAGGAGTGCCTGCCTCTGAGGAGAACGGTCCCTTCCCTGCCTTCCCTGTGTAGCAGCAGGGCCTACCGGTCCCAGATTTTTGAAGCCCACCACTTCGCCTCCTGCATCTTGAGGGTTAGCCCTCTGCCAGGGTGTTGTTTTCGTCAGCACAGGCCTGGCAACGAGGCCATTGCAAACAAAAAGAATCATAAAGGTATCCTTTTGCAGAGGGAATCCCTGGCCTGGCCATCCTGGCCATCTTTGAGGTCAGGACGGATCATGGAGATGGCCCTCAGAGCGCTGGCAGTCCCTCGCCTGTCCTTGGTTCGTGGGCTGAGAGGGGTCCCCACCCAAAACACCCCCTTCCCAGATCCAGTGAGGGACGGGAGGGCCAGGCGTTGGCGCAACAGGCCAGCCTGGGAACAGCCCCACCGCCCTGGGCGTTTCAACCCCAACGGGACAGGCTCAGGCTATCAGGCCCAGCTGGCCTCCCAAAAGGCTCAGCCGTCTTCACTGGCTGGGTCTTTCCGAGGCGGACCGATTTCCAGTACGAACCATGCCAGTGTCTCCTCCCAAAAGGCTCAGCCGTCTTCACTGGTTGGGTCTTTCCGAGGGGCCCTGGATTCAGAGGGCAACAGGGCGGACCGGTTACCAGTATGAACCATGCCAGTGTCTCCAAAGGCGCGCGCGCGCACACACACACACACACACACACACACACACACCCCGAGTGTTGTTCAGCTCACCACGTTTCCTTGGCGGAAAATCAAGGTGGACGTTTCCCTGAAGCTCGCACAGTTTCTGCAACCACGGTTTTGCATGTTAAGTGTGCAACGAATGAACGAACGCCTGTGTTGAATAAAGGCTTTGAGCGGGGTTCCCGTGTTGGGTGTTTCCACCGGAATCTCTCAGGGCTGAAAAGCCCAGCAGAGGTGGCTTCGTGTCCCACTGAGGGTCACCCTGTGGCGACAGCAATGAAAACTGTGTGCGCCCGAAATGCAGGGGGTTCTCTAAGCAACAGACTCTCCCTGGGTGTGGAATAAGCCAGCGCTGACGGGGGGTCTGGATGCCGCCTGCAGGCATCAAGGGCCACCACCGGCCCCACACAGCAGTCCCCGAGCCCACGCTGCGTGGACATGCTCCAAAGCAGCAGGTGCTGAGTTTTCCCGATTGGAAGCAGGAGGCGGCGCCTGCCAGCTCGTCCTCTGCAAAAAGCGGCTTTATCTCATTTTTATCCTTAAGAACTAAATCATAATCTTGTGGCAATTAATTGCATAAACACCAGGCAAGAATGGAAGTGATAATCGGGAAGCAGGCAAAACGCTGACGAGGGAGCCAGGTTCCTTGCAAAGCTGTGAGCTGAAGGGTTTTTGGCATCTTAAGGAATGTGGGGGTGGTGGTGGAAGAGGAGGGTTTTGAAAATGTTTTGTACTGGCCAAAAGAAAAATAATCATTGTGGAAACTGGCATTAAGCAGAAATGAAAAGCCAATTGCTTCTTATTTAAAGGAAATCAGTTTAAGGGGATAGTGCAGGAGGAATAGATGCCTAAAGTTATTTAGAGAAATCGCTATGGATGTATTCCATATGTGCGGTTGGAAGGACGCCTAAGGGTCATTGATCCCATCCCTCACCCCTGCTGCCAGTGCAGGGATCCACTGTTGACTCCCCCCCTCCCCTCCGAGGGCCACTCAGTTCCTGTTTAAGTATTTCCCAGAAGGCAGCCTCTCCATCTCCTCTCGAGGGTGTCCCTTCCACAGCCAAGCAGCTCCTGCCCTTCAGAAGGCCTTCCTTACACCGAACGGGGAACCTGCATCCTTGCGATGGGAGCCCACGGTTTCAACGCCTGCCCTCAGCAGCTGCCAAAAAGAAGCTCCCTCTGCCTTCCACGCACCCGGGTCAAGAGAGAGGCCAAAGGCTTCCAGAGGGGGCAGCGGCGGAGATGGTTAATGCTTCCCTTCCATTTCCCCAACAACTCAGGTCAGCTCAGAAGGAGGGAGGGCTGGCCGGCTGCTGCCACTGCGCTTCTCACCTCTCCAAGAGGAGGGAGGGGTTCTGCAAATCCATTTCCCTGAAATTGAGCCATTTCGTGCCCGCCTAAGAAGCTGTTAAGAAAAATAAATGGCTCTCGTTCACCAGCCTTTCTTTCAGAAAATTGCTCCGATGGAAAAATACGTGACACCTGACAGGTTCGCCTAAAAGCCGGTGGAGGAAGGGAAAAAGATGGTTGGGACTCAGGGCTTGGTTGCCAGATTGGGGTGGATGATTAAGGGCACCGAAGGGAAGAGAAGAACCCCTTGGAATGTGTGGGAGGGGACACCGAAGAAGCCCAAGGTGGTGGTGGTGTGTGTGGGGGGGGGGGGTGAGGCCAGTTGGCGGCTCTCAGCAATCTGCACTATTTGACAAGAAATCCGAGTTAGCAGCACTCGCAGTTAAATATTTGCTGTATTGGAAGAAAGGGGGGGAAGAATTAGGAAGGAAGGAAGGAAGGAAGGAAGGAAGGAAGGAAGGAAGACATTTTCTCTTTCCCCGCTCATAAGTGGTAACCTTCTGTGGTTTGTTTTGCTATATGCTTTTTCAAAGGATGAAAAAACAAACCGTCTGTGAACTAATTTATGAGAACTTATTCCCGAAAAACAAAAGGGTTTCCACTCAGTGGAGGCGAAAATGCCTCCCAGGGTTGCCATTTGAAGTGGATGCTGCTATTTAAAATAATATTGCATGCTTCTAGGAAGTTGACTAATTTCTCATTAGTTCCCATCCGAGAATGTGCTGAGACACGAGTCCCTCTTTAACAAAGCATGAAATGAAAGATGTCACAGAGCTAGCTGGGAAGAAGAAGAAGAAGAGGAAGAGGCCTGTTTAAAACCCTTTCTTTCCCAACAGCAGACAGACAGTCGTCTCTGCAGGATTGGAAAGGGTCTGCACTGAAGCCCAAGTCAAGGCAAGAAGGTCACAAAGCAAGGAGTGAAGAGGAGGCCAGAGAAAACCACCAGGGAAAGACCTCACACACACCCTAGACTCAAAGTTGTGTGCAACAAAATTTCCCTTCCTTCCCTCCTTCCGTCCCCCTCCCCCCCTACACACACAAACGTCTGGGTCTCTTTCAGCTGAATGACTCATCCGAAATTATACGAACAACCTGGACGGATGTCTTTAAGCAGTCTCGGTGTGCACGATCTTGATGTCCTTTGTGCCGTCAAGGTGCACCCAAGCTTACGGTGACCCCAGCAGGACTTTCAAGAGACACAAGATGTTTAAGGAACTGTTTCACCTGCTCCACATCCCCGACCCAGTCAGCTTCCATGGCAGAGGGAGGATTTGAACCCAGGCCTCCCGAGTCCTCGCCTGCCACTCCATCCAGTTTCCCACAAGGGGTACCCTAAGGCCGAACTTCCCCTTCGGCGCTTGAGGGAAGGGGTCCCGTGTTTGTTTAGGAGCTGACGCTGGGGATCCACGCCGTCCACCTCACCCTCAGGCCTGCTGTAGCTTCGCAACCCCTGGGCCTGCCCTAGTGGCAGTTTTTCAACTCTTCATTTTTTAAAAAACCAGGGATTACAAGAGCTCAGAGAGAGAATGGCAGGAAGGCAGAAAATGCCCACCACCCTCCTGGCGAGACGCCGAAGCCACAGGGCCTGCTCCTGAAGTCCTCAGACGGAGGTGGCAGACTGGAGGAATCGGCCGGGGGGTGCAGTGGCCGGGCCTCAGGTCTCCACTGTCTGGTTTCTTCTTTCCCCCCCCTCATCTGTACAGACAAGAGTTGCTCACTGAACTCCCCCCCGCCCGTTGGCTTTGCTCGAAGCATGCAGCTCCTGTGCCGGTGAGCAGCAGAAGCACCCCAAAACATGGCCACCCCTGTCTCAGAATAAATTTAAGGGATAGCAAGACCCTGGTGGGCGGGGGGGGGAGGAGAAGGCTTGAAGAGCCCATGTCAGAACCGTGAGCATCTTTTCGGGGAATGCAGGGCTTTGGATTGGTGAGCCTGGGAGCATCTGCGTTGGCTGGAGGTTGGCTTTGCACGGTTGTGAAAACACCGGAGAAAAGAAGGAAAGAAGGAAGGAAGGAAGAAAGGTAGGTAGGAAGAGGTGCCATCTCTTGTCAGGAGCGCAATGAGAAATGGCAACACCTTGCCACATATCTGGGATCATAATTGAAGAATCCCCGAGACGAACGAGTGATTTATGGCCTTTTGTGTATATTTAAATTAGAAACACAAGAAATTTCACCTCTCTGTGTGTGTGTGTGTTGCAAATCTTTTCTCAGAGTAGGAGCAAGAGGCTTTTCAGGGAAAGAAACGCCCGTCCTCACCTGTGAGGGCCCATCTAAACATTTGGGGGGTGGGGGGGCAATAAATTTCCTGCTATGCTCCTGTTGGTCCTCCTCCAACAGCAGGATCTTTTCGTGGCTCTGGAAAGACTGGGCTCTTGGCAAGAACACCGGATACTCTGGGAAAAATCTTCACAGGAACTTTTCAATTACCTATTGATGGCAGCTGAGGCAGCAATGCCCCCCCCAAAAAAGTGCTTAAATACTCCGCAGTGGCAAAACTTAGGAATTATGTAAACAGAAATACCAATTAGAGAATTTCAAAAAAAAGTGAGACAACTATTTTGGCTATTAAAAATAATTAGAAGGGGTATAGAATCAACTTTGTAAACAGTGCTATGTAAAACAGGTAGGGTTCACATTCTAAAATGTTAACAAAAACTAAGATACAGCTCTGTTTAAAATAACAGTATAGAGGTTAACAATAAGAAGGCTACATAAACTTCTGTAAATAGACTGTCAGTTGTCCTTGATATCTATGCAATGTATGAATTATTTTTCTCTTTTTCTGTAGTTTTCCTTTTGTACTTCCTTAAAGACTAAACTGCTATATTTCATGGGAAAATCCACTTCCTCAGACATGAGAGTCTGGCAGTCCACGTTAAAATACAGCCATCTTTAAGAAGCCACAACATTTTCGCCTTCTTAATTTTTAAAAAGTTCTTTTGTTTACTCCACACCAAAAATGAGGGGAGCGACGGGTCCAGGGCGTCCAAGAATCCCCCTCCCCTCCCCTCCCCTCCCCTCCTCCCTGCTCCCTCCTTAGATTAGCTTTCGTTTGGTGTTTCCACCGATAAAGGGCAGTGCATTTATCTTGAGAGGAGACGATAAGGCTGGACTTTGTTCTTGGCTTCAGCAAAGTCTAATCGGGGCTTTGAATTTAGCCCCTAATGAATCCTCCGCCTCTGCTTATCTCAGGCCCCTTTCGCAGCCGAGCCGAGGGCCCGGCCCGGCAAGCGTCTCTGCCGGGGAGGCCGAGATGCGGAGAGCCCCTTGAAAGAAAGGCCGCCCCGAGGGGAGGACGCCCCCCCCCGCCAACCACCGCAGGGGAGGGCGAGACGACGAGGTCCACCTAGAGAGCCACCTGTGCAGGGTCCAGCTGGCGAGGCGAGGAGGAAGCAAGGAAGGAGAGGCCCCTGCCTCCAGCACCCTGGACAGCTCCTGCCCCAACTCTCCCCACTGCGCCCTGGAGTGACTGCCGGGGAAAGGCCTGGTGGCGGCCACCTCCTCCACCACGGCCCAGGCCAAATCCACTTTCGGAGCCATTTCCGATGGGTGGGCTAGCTTAGGATACGGCAGCCGCCCTGAGGTTCCTGGACGCCGTCCAGCCTGTCCCTCAATGGAAAAGCTAGCTTTTCGGATGGCAGAGCCCAGCATCCTCTCCCACTTGCATTTTGACTGGGGATTTTGGGAGATGTCATCCAAAACAAATCTCTTCTCCTGGTTGGTCTTTCACTGATTTGCAGTAGTTTCACCTTTAAATACTTTT